CTGCGTATCCGCGTGTCGAAGGCAGCGGCGGCATTCGGGAAGCTAGAGTACCGAGTGTGGAACAACCATCAGCTTATCATTGGCACGAAACTGATGGTGTACAAATCCATGGTGCTGTCCGTTCTTCTATACGGCAGTGAAACGTGAATGATGTACCGTCGGGATGTGCGATATCTCGAGCGGTTCCATCAGCAGTGTTTGCGACGGATTTTGCGCATCAGTTGGGGCGACAGAGTTGCTGACACGGAAGTGTTGCGCCGAAGTGGGATGTATGCAGTGGACTGCATACTTTTATTGAGACACCTGAGATGGCTCGGTCATGTGAGCCGTATGGATTCAACGCGGATACCGAAACAACTCTTATACGGTCAGCTGAGTATTGGGAAGCGGCATGTGGGGAAACCGAAGCTTCGTTATCAGGACATGTTCAGCGTGATCCTCTCGTGTTCTAGTGTTGATTTCAGGTCGTGGGAATCGAAGGCGGTTTATCGGAGTGCATGGCGCGATCTGATCACGAAGGCGGTTGCCGCAGTGTGGGGGAAAGACCTCATACATGCAGAGAAAAAGCGGCAAGCACCGATGGGTTGTATCCCATCGACATCAAGCGCATGGTGCTGTAGCACATGCGGTCGCGAGTGCCTAGTGGGCCATGAGCGAGGCCACGCGGGACCACTACCGAAGCGACGACGGGTCCTGCAGAGAACGTAGGCAGAACCAACACAGCGTTTGTAGGCACGCTGCATTGGATTTACTAACCGCGTGCTTGCTTGTTAAAGCAATTTATTTCAGGTGGTGGGTTTGCAATTTTGTCCTAATGCTTACTTTCTCATATAAATGTCTACCTATACTCTCTTCTAAAAACTTGCACACGTCGCTTAAGCCACTTGTAGTTAATCTCGATAACATTTTCGTGTTTGTGGTATTTCCGGAAAATATACTTTCTGACCTCGTGAACTTGTCTCGGGTTCGTTTGTGAACAACTTATTTCACATGGTCGTTAATTTAAGATTTAGGTCACTGTTTCCTTATGCATTACTCGATTTATTTTCTTTGTTAACTTTCTCTCAAGCGATTGACTGTTGCTTGATATCCCCTGTGGAGCTGCGCTTCATGTGCATGTTGACAAGATGCCTATCTTTCTAGTACCCTGCACCTCGATTGCTGGCTCCAGGTGACAGCTGGTCGTTGCTGGAGGGGACAGGGTGCACGGTGTTGTGGCCGTGTTAGGATCAACGAGTGGTTCCATGCACTCAGTGTGGAGCGGACTACGGTCCAGCCACCGCCTTGTGTGCACTTGATTCCCAAATACAGCGTGCTTGTGTTTGCCTGTGAAGGAGTGTTGGCCGGAGCAGTTGATGAAACGTGGCTCCCATCCACATGCCTCCCGGTCTTATTCCTTCGGGTTTACACTGGATATGGGGTGTGTGGATGGAGCTGTGGGTGGTGCAGCGCAAACCACCCATGGTCCCTCTGTAGGCGCAGGCGTCCTGTGGCTTGCCACAGTGACAGGCGAAACCAAAACCGGATTCCGCCAATCATATATATATATATATATATATATATATATATATATATCGAATTGAAGGATGCCCTTGTGCTTTCAATGTACAAGGGAAAGGGCAACAAGCAATACACCAACAATTATCGCGGCATCAACTTGCTTAATTGTGTCTGCAAAGTTTGGTGTGCATCCTACTCAACCGCCTTGTGACACATATACTGGTACCGAACGTATCTGAAGAGTAATGTGGCTTCCGCTCGGGCCCAAGCACCACCGACATGGTGTTCGTAGAACGTCAACTACAGGAAAAATATCGTGAACGCTATGAATCACTATATGCGCTCGTCGTCGACCAAAGCGATCGATACCGTGAATTGTGTGTTGTGGCTGATTCTCTCAGAGTTTGGATGCCCTGCTAGGTTTATTCGTCGGATTGAATGGCTGCATACCGGCGAATTGCATATTCGTGTAGCGAAAGCGAGTGCGGCTTTTAGGAAAATGGAACATCGAGTGTGGAAAAATCATCTCACTGTTAGAACCAAGGCGATGGTGTACCAGTCCATGGTCCTCTCGGTCCTTATATGTGGATCGGAAACATAGATGCTGTATGGAAAGGGTATCGGGTTTCTGGAACGATTCCATCAACAGTGCCTGCGCCGAATTCTGCACATCCACTGGTGGGACAGTGCGCATGACACCGGAGCGACGTATGCACAATGGACTGCCTGCTACTGCTGTGACACTTCAGGTGACTTGAACATGTGCGCCGTATGGATGTGACGAGAATTCTGAAACAACTGCTGTATGAGCGACTGAGTGCGGGCGGCCGGAATGCAGGCAAACCAAAGTTGTGCTACCACGGTGTGTTCCGAGTGATTATTGTCATAAGGGTTGGGAGGTGGCAAAGAATCGCCGGACCAGGCGTGATCTCATCACGCGTATCGTTGCCCAAGCGCAGGAACGACAGCTGGTGCATCGGGAACATAAAGGCGCAGCACGCAAGCGTCAGTTGCCACAGGAAACTGTGGCGTATGCGGCCGTGTGTGCCTTAGCCCAGCCGGTTTAGCCAGTCACCAGCCAGCCCACGATGGGGCTATGCCGAACAGGTCAAATGTGAGACCGAGCAAGACGGACGGACATGTAGCACATGGTGGGACAGATGAAGAGAGATACCTTAACTCACCTTCTGTTAGAAGGTGTGGATGGTACACATAAAACCGGCAAACATTATGGAGAAAGGTGAGTCAAAACGGAATACACATCCTCACAACTTCGGAGGCGAGGACTTTTGCGCTGACACTCCACTAGGTTACCTAGTGCCGCAGCACAGCGACAAAATAAAATAAAAAATAATTGATGTGTCAGCTGTACACCGTAACTGCGCTTCACTTCCGAGCGACCACCACCAGTCGCGCGCGGAGACGCCCACTCCTACGCGGCTACGAATCGGTGGTCTTATGATTGCAAACCATGAGTGCAGACTACTGGGCCACTGACCGACAACTACCCATAGTTTCTGCACAGACACAGGCACTCTGCATTTGCCCCAGTGTTAGCACGAACAGTTTGCCACCTACGAGTGCTCCATGTTGAGGTTTGATGTTGCACACACCATGATTCATCTCAGTTGGGCTACACCGAATTACTTTATCTTACCATACTTACCATTACCTGACGTGTGCTAAGATGTAACCGGACTGTGTCACCGGTCAAGCCAACATTGGTGAGTCAAGCCAGTGAACCAGTAATATAGCCCTGATCATACACCTGCTGGACTTGTGACTCGCTGCATCAATACTACCGATCCTATCCACGTTCTGCTATTTTGTATTGCGGCACAATAGCTGAGGTGCTTTCCACCTGCAGCTAACGTGTATAATGATGCGTAATGATGACATTCTATCCACCTACGGAGAGTAGTTCAGGCCACTTGCAACACTCAACATTGCTTCCTCGTGTTGAAGTAAAGAAGGAAGCGTAATAAACAACTACTATCTTTCAAGCCAAAGTATTCAACAATGCCTCGCCACTTTGGATGGCCGCGTTGGACCACGCATCTCAAGAGAAATCGCTCCGGAACATCCGTGGAAAGTGAACAGTCCAGGCAATTATCTGACTTGCGAATAGCATGATGATATTGACGTCTCATATTCTGTTTTATTTGTTAATCATACGAGTGAGCATGGCTATATTTCCCGTGGTTCATCCGATGAATTGAACTTAGCAGAGCTTATAAAAATTAGTAGTCCTGTTCGCATCACTCTGCTTAAGTACACCAATTCGCTTGCTAACCAAAATAAAGTTGCTTACTCTATTCAGTTGGTCATTGGTTCCCCGATCTTGGCGATCTGGATGCATACGTTTCGCCACAATGCGAGGTGGCATCGTCAGCGCGGTGATATGCAGTGTGCAATCTTGTGTCACTAATGCAAATTGTTTGGGTACAGCTTCACTCTAATATGACTAATTACCGACTTAGTGTCATACCATATCTGTACTGCATCCGTTTAATATCTAAGCATCACATCGAATTCACCTCTTATTGGTTATAATTAGTACTGCCGTATTTCACGAATGCTCCACGTTCGCTCACCACAGTTCTGTTCGCTTCGTGACTATGTCACCTTTGCTACCTTCATAAGTGTATTCCAGTGTGATGATATGCCGAGACAATGAGCTACGGCATCCTCTTCGTATTCGTTTGTGATTTACATCATTATGTAAGCTCCATGGCTTGTTCACCAGACTATCTATACAAGGCTGCCTCTATCTCTTTTGCGTGAAATTGTTTTGTAGATTACATGGCCCTAACTCGACCTGCTGCCCAATATTAGCACGACCCTTAGAGTAACGGAGCATCGCAGGCTGAAGGTTCAGTCCATTCATGATCTCTCCGCATTAGGCATACGTACAAGTCTATCAGTTGGAGCCATTTCGCTGTGTTGTTCGAGCAAATTAAGTTCGTTAATACGGATCTGCACTACGCTTGCAAATTACTGAGCATGCTTACAAAACGAAGATTGATGATGTACTAAGTCAAGACAGATAAAATAGAAAGCAGAAAAGATAGTTTCGAGATAATACCCTTAGAAAGGACGAAAGCAAGAAGAGGCAGGCAAAACGGAGGAGATGAATGTTAGGACAGAAGGTATGCTTAGGTGGTACCTCAAACCGCTAATGACACTAGTATACCAAATGAATGCCAGACACCGAGCGGTCGACGGTCACCAATTCTTTTTACGACTGACCGCTAATATCATGTAAATGATTGATGATATGCACCAATCAATAAATCTGGCGTGTCGAGAACACAAAAATATTCACGTATGTGTGTGTGTGTGGCTGCTAACAACGCATTTCGGTCAATCTGACACTTCGACTGTTTCACTTAGGATTGATTTTAGGCTGGAAAGGAAACAGTGAACAGTAACGTTTGGCTGCAAAGACAAGCGAAAAATGGTAACTTGAGTTACGAAAATTGTCATTGTTTGTGACTCACATGCAAAGAATGATCCATTACACTTTGAAGTAAAGTGACACGCAAAATCTGCGCGATGTCCGATGCAGAGGGAAAACATTCCGAACATTTCAGCAGTTTATCGCGCGACAATTCAACGACCAGTGTGCTGAGCACTGGGTTGCTCGCGAATGAGCTCCAGACATTGGTGCCTGTGAGTGAACCGGTTAGGCAAACGATCCATTTCATGAACAGGCGCTAAATGTAGAAAATACAAAAAGCATCTGACAAATACAAAATGCATCTGCAAGGTGACCGTTTTGCCCAAACAAGGGTTATGTCGCCGTAAACAGCAAAAGAGATGTACCAATAGTTGGCAAAGCTTAAGTTCTGCGCTTGTCTAAGTAGTCGGTACCAGGACAGGAGGCCAGATGATGACGGGTAGAGCACTACAACCTGGACACAAATAGTCTCGGCAAGGTGGCCGTCTTGACTTGGTAATGGACTTGCGGTGAAGCTTAATTCTCGCTCGGGACACTCTTGAAACTTGTCACCCAAACTAAAGACCTGGAAGCAAGAAGCTAGAAAAATTGAGAAAGAACTGTTAGATACAAAAAGGCGGAGGCATTAGCACAATCGCGGTAAACCGTACCGACGCTTCGCTGCCGCGCAACCACCACCGGTGGCGCGTGGGCTGGGCACACTGAGAGCATGTCAATAACTACGCGGATTCGGACCGGTGATCTCCGGATTACAAGGAATGCGTCTTATCGTTTCCGTCATCAGTTAGCCACAGTGGGTGTATAGCTCAGTGCTTGTGGATTCCAATAGAAGCAGTAGGCCACAGTGTGCTGATTCGAAATAAGATGTTAAAGAGAAAACGGGGTTGTGGTTTGTGCGCCGTTATTAGCCTTCACACATATGTGTGACGAAACAGAGCGGTAGAAAAAAGTCAGTCACATAAGGAGTGTGAACGAAATAGACGAGATGAAGTGATTCACATTGATTACAATATTGTCTCAACGAAACCCCAATGCAATGAGCTTAATTGTCAGCAGCATTGAAATGTCAAAGAAACAACGAGAACAAACCTCCATCCATTTCGGACCGCCCATGTCCTTAATAGCCAGGATAAGGACAAAACCTTCTTTCAGGGTCAAAGCAGGAGGCAGGAACTCTGCCGAATTCCTTTGAGAATCCAGTGAACTCATGTATTGGAGTAGTGCATTAACGAAATCCCCGGCACAGGCGAGAACTAACTGAGCGGTGGATAGAGGATCGGTGACAGAGGTATCCTCCTTGTTTCTACCAGTAAGGCGTGCTAGAACAAAGAAAAAGTATTCAAATTAGAAGTCAGGAAGAATTGAATTCTTACAGAATAGTTGGATGCTACGACATAGAACGGGACAGTTATGATCACGGAGAGCAAAGCGTGAATGATCTACTGGGTAAAATTGACAAGGAAAAACAAATTAAAGCAGTTCGCAGAAAGTTAGTTGGAAGCGTCATGCAAAAACCAATCGGATAGTGTGGTTGTTCATACATAGCTGGAAAATAAATTCATATCAGAACCATAAGACACTAAAGAGCATGAGATCAATATTAATCGGCATATCCAAATTCATAAGGCGAGGTTGTTGCATCCAACATGAGATTTGAGACCGAAGAATGGGAGGGAATTCACGGAAGTTGCAAGCGACGAAGATGTTAGGATAAGGTAGGCAATCATTTGCACAAGCATGACAAGTGAGGCTCAGTCAAAGAAGACGGGGAAATTTGAATCTTTTAAGCAGCAGTAGAGGCCACAATAGAAGCCCATGGTCATAAGTAAGGGTACAAATATGTAGCTATGGGGTATGGACCACTATTTGTTTATATGACGAATCATTAAAAAAAGAACTATAAACCACAAGATTGCAGGTTGTCATTAGTGAACGATTTCCCATGGCAAAGTGAAACATAAAGTTAAGGCTGATAATCGTGCGAAACAACAAAACCGCTACAAAACAGTGTCTAGTACATCGAAGTATGGAAGTTAAAATACAAAAATTCATATATACCTCTACACAAATTAACAAGGGCTAATAACAGAGGTCCCACATCGACACGAATGGCGTGTCTTGGTCCATTTAGTAGGTCCTGCAATAGAAAATGTAATTGTAGGACGACTAATCACACATGGGTTTGTAAACAAAGTCTAGAACAACAAAAGCAACACCTACTGAGACGGTGTGATGTAATTTAATACGGTACAGCGAAAACAAAGCTATTACAGGAATCACCTGTGCTTCTATCGTCCGTGAAGTCGCTGCGTACCACATGGATCCCATAGTGTATGGTTGTAACTTGTTAAAGCGTGACACATTTCCCGGAAGTCGAATCACATCCATATCCCATCCTTCTTCCTCTTCAACCCAAGCGAACTATTCTCTAGGGTCCTATACAGACAGAGTCGAACTGGCAATGGAATAACTGTAGGTGCGAATGCACTCCGGTGACGACGGAAAATGCTCGTCCCATGAATACTCTCACTGATATCTCTATAAAAAGCACCGTCTACGCATAAAACGTGATAGTCGTGCTCTCTCGACCAGCATCGTCCAGGCGACCGTGGTTGATGAGAAACTGGAACAAGATATTTCATCCGTCACTGACGGCAGTCCTAGGTGTGTCGCCTAATGCGGTATGAACACACACGCAGGCGACCTCAAACGCCGTGTGAAGCATATGTGCGACCAGATTCGTAAGAACGCACAAAAAAAGATGAAGCAGAAACTAAGTGCCGCGTCGACAACGCAGTATGGAAGATGTTTTGGGTTACGGACTAGAGGCAGAAACCCTAGATTAAGGCATAGCTCTTCTAACATGTAACCAAGAAGTGTCACGTACCAGCAGAATACCAGTACCGATTTCTTCTGTTCTTCAATCATTCCACAACACCGTAACAAAAGACAGTTAACATGGGGGTGTGAATCACTTAGCAATCAAACTGGGTCGTGTCACAAATTGCACTCGCTTCTACAGTAAGTTCTTCAGGGGCGCACATCCCGTATATTACGGAATATAAACCGAGGAATTTTGGGCAATTTTTTGTTTCTGTAGAGGGGGGTCGGCTTATACGAAGATCAAACGCGAGTTGAAAACAGGCATATGCAAAATCCACCAAGGAATTTATTGCATAGCTCTGTTCTTATCTCCCATTAGCACCACTCGTTAGTGACGGATGGTATTCCAGAGGGGGATGTGAATTGCAAATTACTGTACACACTACATTTGTGTCGCACTATCGTGGTTGGTGACGAATGGCAGTAGCGAATCAGAAGCCTTTATGTTATGCCAGGCGATCGGAGCTGAAAAGTGCAACGCTGTCCCACACCCTTGATCGGGAACTGCGCTCTAACCCACTACTGTGGTTCATATGTGAGGCCCCCGACTATGCAAGGCCGCCTGTCTGACACGCATTCGCCTTACTTGGCTGTCTTACCTGTATCAAATGACTTGACGTCTGCTCAATATACTATCCGATGCGGTGAATCAGTTTTATCGGCCCTACGCTTCTTTAACCGCGATTATATCTTTACGGTCACCAGAGCTGACAAACAGTAGAGCAGGTTTCACTTGAACTCACTCAAGTGAGAGCAAATAGTGCTGACGTCGAAATCGTTAAGAAATAATTTCGTTTCTCTTTTGTTGATTGTTTAGAAGTCAGGGCTAACACATAGACTTACGATTTTGGACAAATTTGATGTTACAGAAGAGTAGATGTTGCGAAGTCATACTGTCGACTTATCTGTGGACGGGCTTATATTCGGCAATATACGGTAGAGTTGTATGAGAAAAAGCCGATGCCATCACTTTGGATTTCATATGTGCACCTGTTAGCAAAAAAAGACGAAACAATAGCACAGTGGCCGGCTGAAACCGCCATCGGCTCAAAGTGGTCATGTTTCCGCTACATCGAGTGATGGTGCTCCAGTTTGACACTGGCCGTTTAGCTGGAAGTGAGAGGACTCTGTCGTAACGAGAAGCGTGAACTGGCACTGTACCATTCACTCCTAGACTGTAAGTACCCAAACGTGAATATGCATAGACTATCATCTACCGCTGAACACTCGGATGAATGAGCCTATAAGTAATATAGACAGGGCTTGCGCGCTAGTCGTCGAATATTAGATTGTTAAGAACGTTATTGCGGTTTTTGATATGCTAAATTTGACCGCTGATTTCTTAAACAAATTGTGTTAAGCTATCGTGACCCTATATATTGTTTTACAGTGCATTTTTTGCAACAGTTTGGCCCATAAATATTTTTACAATTTTATAGTACACTCAGAGGGCAGAGGACAAACTCGTACCATTTTTTTGCCTCAACTTGGCCGAAATACAGTGGAAAGAGCTCGTGCATTTGGTCTTGGGACCACTAATGACCGAACTGCACAATGTTGGTTTCAAAAAGTTTGTAACGTTTACGAAAGGCTTAAAATTAAAAGCACTGTGGACAGCCATCGAAGATGAACAACGATCACTTAAGGGCCTTGGCTGTACCGGATCCGCTGTGTCGCATGTGACTATTCAAGAGAGCTTGATAAGTGGGTGCCGAAAGATCTGAACAAAAATGGATCAAAAGATGATCTTGAAGTGTTGTCTGCCCTTGGTTTTGCGCAGTCAAAGTGGCACGTTTCTCAACAGGCGATGAAAAGAATGGACTTTGCAATCATCGACAATACACAGCTCAATAGTTAGACCACGATTAAGCTGCACAACACATCCGAAGACAGAAATTGCAGCCAAGAAGCCTTATGGTGACTGTTTGTTGATCTGTGGATAGTTTGGTCCAGTACAGCCTTCTGAATTTAAGCGAAACCATTACAGAGTAGAAGATGCACAGAAAAATTTAACATATGCATCCTGCAGTCGTCAACAGAAATGAGCTGATTCTACGCCACAATACCGTTAGGCCAACCCTCGCACAACCAACGCTGTGAAAGCTGCACGAGCTAGGCTATGAAACTTTGCCTCTCACCATACTCCCCTGAACAGTCGCAAGGAGACTGAACCGTAACGTGGTGCGACGGTCAGCGAACCTTTTGTATTCGTTGAGCTATACTGGGTGGTGCCCTCGAGCTACTGCTACCAGGTGGGTCACCGGTTATTGGTCAGGCAAACAGTCTCTTGGTGCTCCAGGCTAAGGGTCTGAAATGGGCTGGCGTCCATTGCTATAAAAGCAAGTAATCGCAGCCTCCCAACTGCCTTACGAATAGGCTTTGGTTGTGCACCCTAATCATTCTCGTGTACGGGTATGGGCGTCATGTCAGTAGCTCAGCCCACGTACAACCATAACAATTTCATCAAACTTCAACCACATCCTGCAGCGAAAGTAGTGAAGTTTGAAAAGAGCGCCCTATCCGTTGCACACAGTAGGGCGGACGAGCGAAATTATGCCACTACTGCCACCTCCCTTCTTTTTTTCCTTCCATTTCTCTCACTTCCCTTCCTCTACTCCTATTACTAATTTTCCATAATTCCCAGCTTAAGGGACAACAGCCGCAATGCAAATGAAGTCATATCATGTGCAGTTACATTACTACACCACACACCGGACACCTATCGCCAACAATCTCGCTGTGCCGTTTCGCTAGATGTGTTCAATATTGCACGCTAAGACAAATAGGTCAACAGCCTGCACTCGCATGCACGTTAGTCACACTGGGTATTCACGTGTGTTGCGTATCCGAAACTAGGATCAATGATCCTCACGGGGTTGTTGAACTAATGAGCCTGGCTTGTACTCTCGGTATTGGTTGCACGTACACACTGATGCGGCAATCACTGTTCAAACTGGTGTGGGCATCGTTCTCAGCTCCAAAGCGAAGTCATCGCTGGTTGCTTAGATTCCCATGAGAAGCCGTTTGTGTGCAGACCGTTTGAGGACATCATCTAGGGTTGTTTCACGGAGTAGCGCTATCATCATCATCATCATACACGTTAGCTGGAGATGGGGAATACCTCAGCTACTGTGCCGCAATACACAGTAAAAAGAAAAGAAAAAAGCAACTGGTGCAAGTCGGCTGAGCTACCGGTAACGGATGGGCATCGTTCCGGTAGGCTAACAGCCGGCTACTATGCGCTAGAGGCTGTTTGTTTGTGATTTCCGCTTATGCCCCCACCGACTGCAGTTCCGTTGATGCCAAGGACACATCCTACCACGAACTGAACACACTACTTTTCAGAATAACCCATGGAAATTACCGACACAATGAGAACGATTATACGATACGAGATATTACCTCGACTAGATGCGACAACTAACTGTGGATCTTT